ATGCATTTTTTTCATGATCAAAGAACTCAAGCTGTGGCATTTATGAACTCTGTTTCTTCTCACCTTGAGGTTCTAAATTTACCACTGAATCTCTAGAGCATTTGTCTAGAACACTGGTTCTTAACCTTGGGTTACTCAGGAGTTTTGGACTGCAACTCCCAGAAGCCTTCACCACTAGCTGTGCTGACTGGGGTTTCTGGGAGTTGCAGTTCAAAAGCATCCGAGTAACAAAGGTTAAGAACCACTGGTCTAGAATATCTTTGGGAGGTGGATTTAAAATGTGCAGAATAAAAATGATTTAAGAAAGTCTGAAGTCCAAGTTTGGGGATGTCCAGGCTGTTGTTTATATACAGTCATTCTACGCATACACAGAAAAGAGGAGCACAAAATTCAACTCTTGTTTTTCATGTGATTCTAAGCCAAAAAATAACTGGTAACTTGTAAGTAGAACCACATGAAAAACTTAAATTCTATGTTCCTCTACTTTGTGTATGAATGAATGTATATAAACAATCACCCAGGCTTCCCCAAATTAAGAGATGGAAACATGTAGGTTTCCCCCTTTTCCTCCTCCTCCTGCTAATTAAAGCTGAGTGCGGTAGACACTGCCACTACTGTGAACTCATTAACACAACAAAACTTTGCACTCCCACTGGAGAACCCTCTAATGCATCTTTACTCAATCCACTGTGTTCAGCTGAGTCTACTCCTGCACACAGGATTTCAGCCTAAAAAGGCTCCATTTTACTCTGAATTTATTAAACATTTGCAACTTGGTAGGTAATCTGATTTGCAACTTTTGATAGGCAGAATGATTAGTCCTGTTATCAAGATCATTGGAAAGACAAAAATTAACATTGCCCTACTTTAGTTTTGTTTTCTTATTCTTAAATTCCTGCTATCATGAGCTGGTACAATATTGTTAGTAATGAAAAGTTGGTGTGTTTTACAGAAATGTCATTTCTTAATTTTATTGGGAAAAGAAATCCATAAATGATTTATCCATGTACACAAGCCTATGGCTTACTTCTATGGTTCTAGGTTACAAAGCCTCAACATTTTGTTTCATGAAGTGCTACAAGCCACACCAGATGTCCAGAACAAAAGACTCAAGAGGCTACAGGAGCCTTGTTTAAATTAATGATTAGAGACAGTTATGGGGTCTGGCATATAGCTTCTGATTAAATACTCCTGCTAGGCACAGTGACTGCCCCACATGTCTTCCTGAAATTCTCCTCCTTAAAGCCTGTTCTCAATTTATTGCTTAATTAACTGCAACTAATCTGCTTCCCACAAACAGTCTGCCTGACTTACAAATCACTCTGTCAGTATCTTTTCCTTTGGGTTTTCCTTTACTGGAGGCACTTTTAATCAGTGACAGCAAAATGGTGGTTGTGAAAGCTAGACACCAGAACTGAGGGACATCATTAAAATGGTTAGCATTTTTTCAGCAAAAAACCAGCAGACAATATTTTGACTTCATTCTAGTTTTATTCATTTTGCTTTTGAGCAATTCAAAGAACACTGTGAATATTTTAACTGCAAAATGTGGCTCTTTCCAAACCTGAAATTAAAGCTACAAATATCACCATCAAGCCTTTAGGGGCAAAAGAAGCTAGGATATTCTTGGTGGAACAATACATGTTCAAAAAGGATATCTTCACCTATTTTATAATAAACATCTTTCTTACTCCAGGAATCCAATATCTTTGCATTACACTCTCAGCTGGAAGACACAGGTGGGGCAGACCTAATATCCCTTTAGAATGCAGCAGAGGGGCAAACTGTGGCATCAACCATGCATCATCTAGCACCCATTCCATCAGGATAGGAAGGGGAGATCAGCGCTACATTACTGCCTTAGCTGGGATAACTTCTAGCTCCTGCTGTCACTGAACTGTCTCATTCCACCTATTTGCTTTTTCTCTCCTTCCTCTCAAACCTCTCCCCTTCTGTGCCAAGGCCCTTAAAATGAAAATGTGAGGGCAGGAGCTGTTACAACTGAGTTTTGCAATCTGACCCAACAGCCTCTTCCCACTGAAGAGTAAGATACAAATGCTTAAATAGATCTCACTAGAAATGGGTATGACTCGCTTCATGTCATGTCACTGCAAGTTGTCATCATGGCAACACAGGTGCTGCATGTTCCCTTCCCTCACCCCCACCCACTGGCTCCCCCACACACCAGCTGGCATGTGCTGCTCTATCTCCTTCTATCTGCATTATCGTCCAGTTGCAGCAGGAACATGGACTTCAGTTCTCCACCTTTCCCAGCAGCTGCCCACTCAGGCAAGGAAGTGGAGCAGGGATTCCTGCAGTGCTGCCTTTGAGTGGGCAGCTGCTGGAGGAGGCAGAGGAGGGAAGTCTGTGCTTCTGCAATTGGATGGTTGCATGAAGCACAGGAGGTGAGTAGCACATGCCGGCTGGTGAGTGGGGGAGTCATTTAGGGGGTGGGGGAAGGGAACACGCAGCGTCAGTGGTGCCACGTCAAATGACTTGTGATGACACAACATGAAGCAAGTCATTCCCATCTCTAGATTGCATTGTGAGTGGGAATGGGCAGTTGTGGTTTGTTTTTAAATGTTGTTAGCTACCCAAAGTAGTGCCTCAGTACTAGATGAGTGTGCTATAAATGTAATGAACGAATGAACGAATGAACGAGCGAACAACTACAATGATCCAGAGATTTTCAGATCTTAATCACTGAATCCCTCACTATTTGGTATTCTGGCTAGGGACCAGGAGATACGGACCAAAAACATTTGGAGGGTTCCCCATTTGCCCATCTGTTCTGAATATATACATAGATACCTTAGTGAGATCAACATAATTGACTAAAAAAGACCTGATTTTTCATATCCTGTTTTATTATAAGTCAGGCTTTCCAAACCTGAGATCCACCACATTCTGGTCTACAACTCCAAATTTTTCCTAAGCACTTGGCTGGGTCTGATGGGACCTACTGTATAGTCTAAAAGAAACTGGAATTATAACACCATAGAGGCCAAGGATGTAGATATCGGAATTTGACTATTTTAAAGCAGAGGATAAGGCTTAAAGATATATCCTAACTGGCCCCTTTCCTGCTCTTTCTTGTCCCATCACAACAAAATTCAAATGGCTCACTGTTCTATCTAAATCAACCTATTTCCAGGTCCAACTCAACATGCTGGTTCTGACTTCCAAAAAGCAGAGGGTATAGGACCCCAAAATCTGCCTTCTCTAATAGAAGCTTAGCAAAGCACTACAATGATAATCAAGGACCCTTCTTTGACTCTTACCAAAGTCATGTCTGACTGGGACAAGGGAAAGCACCTTCTCTCCATTTAAACCTGAGGAGAACAGCTAGCTATCACAGACACTTAGCTGGAAATCAACCCATCAAGCTCCCGGTCTCTGATCTGGACATGTTTTGGAAGCCAGTGACTACATACCAGACTGGACAATGTACTGACACCTACACTACACTTTAACTTAGCCAAAAGGCTGAGATGTGAACTGAGACCTGGTTACTCCAGGGAACAGTGCCAAAGAGGCATGCCACTTTAGGTTACCTCTTGGGGAAACAGCAAAACCACTCTTATTTCTCTTGCTTCTGTTCCAACCCGTGATGTGAGGAGTTCTGTGATACCATACACCAAGTCATGCAATTACCACATTAAAAAACATTTGCCTACATCATGACAGGCAACATCCAATGGTCTGGAGGCCACATCCACTTCTCAGAACTTCAGAGGGCTATACCCACCTTCTCACTCCTCCTTGTTTTTAATAAATTTCTTTTTTTAAAAAAACCTACTTAAAAACTGGCTCCCAATAGCCATGAGCACCTTCAAAAGATGTCACTGGTCACAAGGTCTAGTTTTAATTTAGGGTGTGAGAGAGTGTTAGAGGTGTTGGGGAATGTGGCATAAGTCTTGGGGTCATTTGCAAGAGGCCCATGGACTGCACATTCCCCACCAGTGGCCAACATAGAGCCAGTACTAATTCAGGTCTTGCAATTATTAGCTGTTTACTTATCAGAATTTGGGACTATAGGAATTAATTGATGAACATCCACAATTCTGTTAGTTGCTTATTGAATTCTCCCCCCCCTTCAAGTACTGAACTGAAACTGCATTGATAATTGTAGCATTTTCATTCTTTCATCACTTTTTCATGCCAGTCATTTTGCTTTTTGAGACTATTATGTCTGTTTAGGTTGGGTTTTTTTCGTAGTCACTTGGGGATTCCTTTTCAAAAGAAAAGCAGAGAACAAAGCACTGAAAGCAAATGAATCATTTCCTCCATTCTGCTGAGCCCGAGGTGCCACAGCAATAGGAGATACACAATTTTGAAAAGAAATTGGGTTCTTTCTGTTGGTGCAAATGCCTGGATAACTCAGTGGTTTAGGTATTTGGCTGTAGAGCCAGAGTTTGGGACTCTGATTCACCCCTATGTCTCCCTGACAGGGGTTGTACTCAATGATCCATAGAGCCTTTTCCAGTTCTGCAGTTTTGATATGATGATAATGATCCTGAACCTGTCCCTCTATCTGATTTTATTCAGTCTACTTTCCATTTAAGAAAATGTTTTTTGAAGGATGAATGCACAAAACCTAATGGATGCTAAGTGTATGGGAATTTTAAGAACAGGGATGGGCAGGTATTTAAATGCATATCCCATGAACACTGTCTGCAACTGGATGCATATTCTGAAGTGTATCCAGTTCAAGCACACAGTTCCTACAGTCAAAGATAAATGAAACACTTTCCTGAATTGAGATATCCAAGACCATAGAAATAAAGGAACAGGTTTTGCACATCTTTCTGCAGGTGACGAGAGATTGACACCTATGAATTTGGTTGAAATATGATACATTTCCAGACTTATGGAACATTGAAAGAACATGAACATCAAGACAGCTGGTGTGATTATAATCATGGATGTCTGAGGTAAAACAAATAATCAGCATGAAGTAGATATCTAGAAAGCTACCAGAATTAGGCAAGAATACTCACAATAAACCCAAGTTTTTTGTAATCCCGCGTGTACATAGACTTGCGTTTCTCAACATTGCCACTGCTGTTGTTGGATTCAGATTCTGCATCAAAAGCAATTCGTCGGAGTTCAAATATTATATCTCTCTGTGCCTGATGGGATTTTAAAGAGACCAATGAAAATGATTTAAAAAACAAATAATTTTCAATAAAAGTAGGATCTACATCTGCTTTTATTGTCTGAATTTCATTTGATACTAATAATTCCGCCCTCCCCAAAAACTATTATCTCTTCAACACTCCAACACTCCATATGCCACTTTGTTTCCAAATTTTATGTAAAAAACTATTTATTTTGATCCTCCAGAAATGCAATTGATGTATATCAGATGTAGAGAATAAAGGAAAATATGAAGCTCTTTTATACTGATTCACACAGTTAGTCTGTTTTGCTTATTATTGTCTACACTGACAAGAAATGACTTACTATGGTCTCAAACAGGGATCTCATAGTCCTACCTGGAGATGTAAAATATTCCCATTTCACTATAGGTCACATACTGCAAGGACAAAATAGCAGCAGAAATACAAATACAAATGATTCGCATACCCTCTACATTTGCTTCCCATATAATGCATAAAGAGGAAAAAGAGAGGTTACTTACCTGTAACTCTGGTTCTTCGAGTAGTCATCTGTGAATAAACACCTATGGGTTTAATCTGCACCTGCACAGAGGTTTTCAGAATATTCTAGAGCTTTATGCTACATTCCGCCCGCCCTCACAATCACCTCAGTTCCTAAAAATAGCCCACTGCTGCATCAAAAGATACAGGAGTGAAGGACAGAGGGGAAGATGTGCAGGAAGTGTGAATTCACAGATGACCACTCAAAGAACCAGAGTTACAGATAAGTAACCTCTCTTCTTCGTGGTCTCTGGGAATGCACACTAATGGGTGACTAACAAGCTTACCATATAGGTGGAGGGATGCCACGGAAGGATCGAAGAAAGTACAACTCTCCCAAATGAAGCATCCTTCTTGGCTCTTAATTCTAGCCTATAGTGGAAGGCAAACGTGGAAGGCGTTGCCCATATGGGCAGCTTTATAAATGTCCAGGAGTGGAATTCCATGAAGGAATGCCGCAGAAGTAGCTGTCGCTCTAGCCGAATGAGCCTTAATACCCTCAGGTAAGGGCTGTTTGGCAAGCTGATATGCCAGTTTTATGGTAGAGATGATCCAGCGGGAGATCGTCTGGGAAGAAACATGAGATCCCCTGTGAGGGGGGTATGGTGATATGAATAGTCTTTTTGATTTTCAAAAAGGAGACATCCTTGAAGTATAAAAGGCAAGAGCCCTCCTGGTGTCCAGTGTATGTAAAGATTTTTCCAAATCATTTGCAAGAGACAGAAAAAAGATAGGCAGAATTATCAGTTGAGAAAGGTGGAAATAGGGCACAGCTTTTGGTAGGAAGGAGATATCCGGGAACAGAGTGACCTTGTCAGGGTGAAACTGGAGGAATGGTGGATCCACTCTCAACGCTGCAAACTCAGAGGCCCTCTGAGCAGATGTAATGATGACAAGAAAGAGTTTTAAGAGAAAGAAGGTATTAAGAAGTGGTGGCCAGCAGTTCAAAGGGAGGATGAGAAAGCCAGTGTAGCACAAGGGATAAGGACCATTGTGGAGGAGGAGGGCATGCTGATGGACAAATGTTGGCAATGCCCCTTAAGAAGTGTTTTAGTGTTGGATGTCTAAAAATCATTGCAGCATCCAAATTTTGTGGTTGATGTGCTATAATGGCTGACAGATATACTTTGAGGGCTGAAAGAGATAATTGCTTATCAAATAGATAGGAGAGAAATTGTAGAACAGTTTGACTGTTTGTTGGTTTAGTAGGAAGATTACAGTATGTTGGAGGGAAAATTTGGTGAAGGCAGACCATTTGTGTGAATAAAGTTTGACTGTAGAAGACTTCCGGGGATGAGCAAGGATAGCTTTTACTGATGGAGGATCCTCCATGCTATGAGATGGAGGGTGTGGAGATCTGAATAGTAGGTTCTGCCCTGATACTGAGGTGTGGGATGAGTGGTAGGCGGAAGTAATCGCTGGAGATGGAGCGTAGCATGGTGAATCACAGTTGTCTTGGCCACCACGGAGCGATCAGAATTGCGTCTGTACTGTCGTTTCTGATTTTGGCTATTGTCCTTAGGAGGAGAGGAATGGGAAGAAACAGATATATGAGATGAGCAGTCCAGTCTGCCATGAGAGCACCTCTCAGTGATCCACGTCCCATGCCCACTCTTGAGAAGAATAGGTTGCATTTGGTACTTAGATGTGTAGCAAACATGTCGATTTGAGGTTGACCCCAGTGCTTGCACAGGTGATGAAACACTGATTGGTCCAGAGACCATTTGTGCATCTGGCTATGCAACCTGCTCTGTTCGTCAGCTACTAGATTGTCCTGCGTGGCAATGTGTACTGCCATGGGAAAGATGTGGCATTCAAGGCACCATTCCCAAAGTTGCACTGCAAGATAAAGAAGTGGAAGAGTGTGTGTACCTCCTTGCTTGTTGACATAGAATAGCATGGTGGTATTGTCTGTTGTGACTTGAACAACATTGCCACGGATGATAGGTTGGAAAGCTCTGAATGCCTTGAAGATAGCCAGATGTTCAAATTGTTTATATGCAAGATGCGTTCCCTGCGATACCAAATAGCATGGATACAGAGGTTGTTGCAATGTGCACCCCATCCGGTAGTGCTTGTGTCTGTGGTAATTTATATTGATGGTTGAAGAGGAGCAAATAGGTTGTATGGGTTGTACCACCAAAGGAGCTGAGCAGAGAGTTTGGGAGTGACCTTGAACCTTTTTGATGGTGATTCTGTCATTGGATAGAAAATGGTAAGGTACCAGGATCGGAGTGAGCAGAGTTTTAATCTGGTAGTCGAAGTTGTGGATGCCATAAGGCCCAGAAGGCACTAAGCAGAATGCGCGGTAACACAGGGACGGAAACGAAAGTGAGTGATGAGGGCATGAAGTTTCACAGCCCTTTCCTGAGGAAGAAAGACTCTTCCTTTTGTAGAATCTAGGAGAGCTCCTATATACATGATGTTTTGAGTGGCAATTTTTCTCTGTTGATTTGTAAACCCAGATCCGCAAAAAGAGAGAGAACCGTCTGAATATCCTTGAAAGCTTGAGAACAAGACGGGGAGACTACGAGCCAGTTGTCTATATACGGGAAAACCTAAATTCCCAGGGTACGTAGATGAGCTACTGCAGGTGCTATGAATTTTGTAAACACTCTTGTCACTGTAGAAAGACTGAAGGGGAGAGCCCTGAATTCGTAAGTGTGATCTCCTACTGCAAACCTGAGGAATTTGCGATGATCCTGATGGATTGTAATATGAAAGTATGCATCGCTTAGATCTATGACGGCAAACCAGTTATCTTTTTGGAGAATTGGTAGAATTCATTCTAATGTGACCATACGAAATCGTCTTTGAATTATGTAGTAATTGAGTTCTCGCAAGTCTAGGATAGGTCTTAGTCCTCCATCTCATTTTGGGACAGTGAAATACGGGGGGGGGGGAGCCTGGATGGTGCTGTGTAGTAGTGATGAGAGATGATGTCCTTTGAGAGGAGAGACTGTATTTCTTGTTCGAGGATATTGGGATATTGGATGGTGGTGTTAAAACAAATCTTGGTGGGGGCAGATAAGCAAATTCTATGGCATAGCCCGTAGTGATAACGGTGAGTACCGAAGAGTCAGTGGTGATGGAAGACCAGACTGGAAGACTGGCTGAGAGACGAGTGGTTGCATATGAAAGAAGTTGAGTTTTGTGGATCTGGGGGATGAAGAAGTCAACGACCCTGCTTTTTCTTTTTCTCAGGGCGTTGGAAAGATCATTTTGGGCATTGTCGTTGGAATGTTTGCCTAGGCTGGAATGAAGTAATTGATTGGTTTGAATATTTATTTCTGTCAGAATATTATTTTGGTTGTTGGTAGTTGCATGATCGGCACAATTGAGGGTGCTGTGGTCTGTAATAAGGTTGTTGATTATTAAATGAACGAGCTGTTATCTTTAATTTTTGCAGGTTTTTTAGGTTTTTCATCAGTCTTCTGATCAAATAGACCAGAACCAACAAAAGGTAAGTCCTCTAACCTCATCCTAACGTCATCTGAGATATGTGCAGATCTTAACCATGCATATCTGTGTAGGGCTACTGCAGTAGCCATGTGTCGTGAGGAGGCATCAATAATGTGCCTAGCCGTGATTCTTTCTTGATGCGCCAAGGCCATGGCCTCCCGATGGAAGGCGAGGCCATGGCATTTGTACTCGCCTGCAGCAGATTGGAGGAATGTGAGGGCCTTGTTCCACAAATAGTGGTGGTAGGCTCCCATAGCTGCGGTGTAATTGGCAGCGTGAAGGATGAATGATGCCAGGGAGTAGATCCTGCATCCTACAATATCAAGTTTTCTGCCTTCCTTGTTATTAGGTGTTGTGCTAGACCAGCTATGTGCCCTGTTTTGGGTAGCATCAACAATGAGTGAATTGGGGGGTGGACACTTAAAGAGGAATGCAGTATTGTCTCCATGTGTTTGTAAAGGTTCTCAACCTTACAAGACATCTGTGGTACAGGTTTGTTTAGTGAGTTCAAGCAAGGAAGGAATGAAAGTCATGCTTAGAGGCAGAGTTTGCTGGTCATTAATGTCTTCAAAGACCTTATCTGATTGAACTTGGGAAGGCTGTTCCACATCCAGTTCCATGGCTTTGGCTATACGTAAAACTCAATTGTGAATATGAGGAAAAATCATCAGATGGAGATGATGGATTGTTGGTATTAATGTCAGAGTCCGGTGTTGGCAAGTTGGGTGGGGATTCTTGATCCAGAATGGAGTGGGAGGAATCTGAAGAAAAGGAATGGGAAGAGGAGGTGGGAGAAGCCAGGCAGTATTGTGAAGGAGTTGGATCCGGAAAATTATGGTGAGATTTTGATGAAAATGTGTTGAGTCGGTACCGAAGCAGCATGGTTTTTGGAGTGTTTCTTGTGTGATTGTTTGGTACTGGCAGGTACAGGGTGGGGATCAGTGTAAGTTGTGGTTGATTGTACTGACGGTTGATGAGACTGTTGTGATGGAGCTAGTATGCAGGATCATTTCGGTACCATGGATTGAGGTTGAGAATGGTCAGAGTGTTGCCTTTTCTGTGATTTGTGTCTCAGTACTGGGACAGGTGATACCAAACCCTCCTCCGATGATGATTGGGACTGATACGTTTCCTGGTACCGGGATCGATATCTCGGTGATGGAGATGACTTGGAATAATCCAAATCATAGTAGTATCGGCATTGGTGTCAACGTTCAGAGTAGAAATCAAACTCAGAAGGATAGTACCGATATGCTTGGTATTGAGAGCTTCTATCGGCAGGGTCATAGTACTCCGGAGGCTCATAGAGCCTGACCCGTTTAGATTGCCTGTGTCCTCTGGATCGCTCTCGAGATGTGGAGGACCCGGTTGGAGTGGTGGGCCTCACAGTATTGGCACCAGGATGATGTAATTGCGATGTATAATGTTCTTTCCTCGACCTCTTATGGGGAGGAGAAACGTCGGGTGCCTGGTATTGATAGTTGGATTCAGCAACCTACACAGAACACACTGTCGATAAGGGACTAGAGCACGGTGAAGTTGGAATAATGGTGACGTCTGCAGCCTCAACTGGAGAAAGCGGATGGACACCAGTAGATTTCTTATACTTTTTTAGACTTGGATTGATCTAATATCGAGGGAGACTTTGGCACCAGAGTCAACTTGGTGGTTTCAATTTTGATTTTTGAGGTATCTTAGAACTTGATCTTGCAGATGGGAAAACAGTAGATGGGACCGGTGATTGTCTGGGAGGCTGCAATTTGTGAGGTGACTCCATGGTATGGGCGGGTTGAAGTGACTTTTCCCAGAGAAAAGACCTTAGTCATTGTTGTCATAATTTAAGAGCTTGCTTTGTAAAATTTTTACAAAACTGACAAGATGAGGTTTGGTGGGATTCTCCCAAACAGATGTTATGGCTGTCTGTGAGGGGAATTTTATTTGAGCACGACTTGCACTTTTTGAAGAGGAAAAGGGGTGCCATAAATGGTGGGGAAAGGGAGGGGACGGTCCAAATAATCAAGAGTTTCTCATGATTTCCTGAGTAAGGTCAATTTGAAGATATTTAAGCGACTGAAGCAATTTCTTTATTTCTTTCAGAAGCAGAAACAGACGAACACAGCAGCTCAACAGAGGAGAGACCACAGCAGCGGCAAAATGGAACTGAGGTGATTGCGAAGGCGGGCAGACCTCGTGGGCTACAATTTCTTTATTTCTTTCAGAAGCAGAAATAGACGAACGCAGCAGCTCGATAGAGGAGAGACCACAGCAGCAGCAAAAAGGAACTGAGGTGATTGCGAGGGCAGGCAGACCTCGTGGGCTAGGGGGGCAGTCCTTGACGAACATAGCATAAAGTTCTAGAATATTCCGGAGACCTCTGCGCAGGCGCAGATTAAACCCATTAGTGTGCATTCACAGAGACCACAAAGAAGAACACATATTGCATTCACAGAGACCACGAAGAAGAACACATATCTTCCTCATGGCTAGTTTCATGGGCATTTGGCACTTAAACACCTTTCTGCATGATCAACATGCACAATCAGTCTTGGACATTGCACAGGAAAAATAGAAGACATTAAAATTAAATGCACTTCCTGTGTTGCCACTTCATGTCACTAGTAATCTTTATTATTTTTTTGGATGAATGTTTAACAAAAGAAGTTTGTTAAACATTCTTTTTAGTCTCAATTACATCATTCTCCCCAAATGGCTATGCACCTCTACTTTAGAAAGCAGAGGCTGGGAAAGACCATGGAGGCAATCGTGTTTCACAGCTATACAAAAGGTGTGACTTCTAGCGGTGAATTGCTCTAAGCTAAGAAATATTCTGGAGGTATTACCTATTGCATGCCAACTGAGTAGGCAGGAGACAGTATCTATGGAGATTTCTCAACTTACAACAAATTGCCACTAAAAGTTACACCTTTTTCCATAACTGCCTGTGTAACATACTGAAATTCACAACCAAGTTGTAGCTATTTGGGTGACAAATGAAGTCCTTTTTCTTCTTCCAGGTTATTCTGAATTAACATGTTAGTAGTTTCTAGATTATGTTACTGTTGTTCTTCATGGTTGATCTTAAACCCAAATTTATTCTTTGGCTGATTTTATCCTATTCACTGCTAAAGTACATATGTTTAATCATATCATTCTCAATGTAAGCCGAAGCAGCCACTAGCCAGAGACCATGCTATGAATACATGTTAGTGAAGAATACATAACATGTTCTCTGATACCCTCTAGTGGCCAGTTTTAGTAATGCATTTGAAAATAATTTTTTTTTTCGTTTTTACCATAGTGGCCAGTTGTAGTAATGCATGTGAAAAAAATTTTTTTTTCGTTTTTACCATGCTACACACACACACACACACACACACACACACAAAGATGTTGGAAGGGGCCTATAAGGCCATCAAATCCAAGCCCTTGCTCAATGGAGAAATATAAATCAAAGGCTATCTGCCAGGTGGTTATCTAAATTTCTCTTGTATGCCTCATGCATTGGAGTACTCAACATCTCTTGAGGTAACTGGTGTACTGCTTTATGAAGTTTTTTTTCCTGACATTCAACCAAAATCTGGCTTCTTGTAACCTGAGCCCATTGTTGCATGTCCTGCACTCTAGGATGATCAAAAACAGATCCTGCCCCTCCTCTGTATGACAGCCTTTCATGTATTTGAGAAGGGCTATGATATCTCTCTTCAGTCTTCTTTTTGACCTCAAAATCTTGTATCTTATTTTGCGCTGATACATTGATATCAGTGAAAAATACACCGATACATCCCTCTCATCCAGATGAAAAGATTTCCTTATCTCTGTGGAATAAGCATAAACCCCCTTTAGCACAACTTTTTTTTCTAACCTGATCTTGAGGATCCATTTTGGTCATCATTCTGTCTTCTAGTAGGTTAAAGGTGAGCACTTGGAGAACATAAAGCTGATGCGCCATCTCATTATTGATGGCCCTCTGTGCTCTGATAACATGCTGAAAAGAAGGACAGCAAGAGGGTTACTCAGTTCCTCCTTAGAGAACTAAGAGAAATGATACATGGATACTTATGGGTAGGTAAAAAAGGACATTTATGCTAGAATTTTTCTAAAGAGAAATGATACATGGATACTTATGGGTAGGGAAAAAAGCACATTTATGGTAGAAATTTTCTAAAGCTAGAAAAGGTGATTTTTTTCCTGATCAAATAACGACATTTATTATAAAATCTGGAATTAATATAGTTTCACTAAAACTGTACTGTTTATTTGTGAACATGTGAACATATATGTGAACACAAGGCAAAAGTTGAAAAATGAATTTTGGCTTTGCTTTTACAAAGCAGCCTGTGAAAATACATGCATTGGGAAAAACAACCTGTAACAATACAGTGGTGCCTCGCTATTGCGATCGCTAAACGATGATTCAATGGGGGTTTTCCGTTTTATGATAATCGGTTCCCTGCTTCCGGAACCGATTTTTCATTTAACGATCAAAAACAGCTGATCACCAGGTTTCAAAATTGCCGGCCCCTGTGCAAAATAGCTCCCGGCTGTGCTTTAGGACGGATTCCTCACATTACAGGCACTGGGAAATGGCCACCCTATGGAGGATCTTCACTGGACGCTGAGGTATTTCGCCCATTGGAACGCATTGAACTGGTTTTCAATGCATTTCAAAGGGCTTTTTCATTTCGCTTGACGAGATTTCGCTTAACAGCGATTTAAATGGAACGAATTATCTTCGTCATGCGAGGCACCACTGTAGCTACAAAAACTGAAAAGCATATCAATTAATGTTTTTCATCTAATGAAGTCTAATGCCAGTTGATGGAAGCATGTTAAATCTGATCATTTTGCAGTCCTTATTAGAGACTGTACCTACAGAGGACCCTCTCATCCTGTTCTCAGGGAATAGTTTTAAGTAAGGATAAAGAGAGCCACACACTTCCCTGCCCTCATCTCGCCTAAAACACACAAACACACAGCTCACACTGAGAATGCTTTTGGGGCTATTAAATTTTTCTTTTTAATTACATGTTCATATAGCAGAACCACAGAACAAATTGCAGAGCTACTAATTATATCAAACTGGCTTTGCAAGATGCACAAATCAAGGAGCACTTGAAGCAAACATTTTGGACAGGGAGAACAATAATGCCCCTCTGCTGAAGCTTTCTTGCATTTCAGATTCTGCCCCAAAAGATGCTAGGTGTTTCGTTCATCTATCCTGCTGGCTAAGTATGATCTGGAAGGCACCAAGCTGGAAAAGCTGGTTAGGAAATTGTTAGGTTTAGGCAAGCAAGAGGATTCAGAAGTCCCAAAGGATCACATAAATCCTCTCTAAGCATAGGCTGAAGCTGAGATAAAGATAATTGGTATCCTGAAGTTCACAACAACATCAGTAGATTGGGACCTTGACAACTGACTTCAATTATTCAATGAATGTGGATAATTCTAAGGATACAACCCAAAAAATTGAATAAGTATGTGCAACAATATTCTAATATTCTTCAGTTTAAGGTTATGTGCATGTGATGGGGTAAGGAAGACAAAATATTTCTGAAAGATAAAATAGCTCACCTACAATCTTCCATGACCTAAGCATGACAAGGCACAGAAGCCATTCTTGCGAAAGAATTTTGACCATTTGGAGATGCATGTGAGTAGGGCTGTCTTCTTTTTCTAGCGATTTCTCATCTATTATAACTGCTCTGCTCATCTTTTCATTCCCTTCCATCTTTCCTTTCCCCCAGGACAGGGCTGCACAACTTCTGTCCCTCCAAACCAAACATACAAGTCATGGTCAATGAAATACCTGCTCTTGCTGTCTGCACAGGACAGGGAAAGCAAACATGTTACAAAGCTTACTGAAGGATAAAACAAATCACTGCTGACCATGTTTTTGCTTGATGGGTCACGTACTGCATAAAATTGCACTACCCCAAACCCCTGCCTATCATGTAATATCTTCAAATCCACTTTAATATAGCGAACAGAGAAACATAAATTAATTTATTGTGGTACTGCAAAATCAGTATGTAACACAGAAGAATTAAGAGCTACTTACTTGCAAAATAATACCTCTAAGTTGTTTTTGGGCCAAAATATTTGCCATCTCCTAATTTTGAAAAGAAATAACATTTTGGAAAAGTTAAAATCCAGTGAAGCATTATCAATACACAGCTTTGAAAAGCGTTTTATTTAGCAAAATATTTATTTTCCAATGGCTACCTTGTGCAACAAAATATAAGGAGAAACAGATCAGATCTATCCCTAGAGACTAATAGGAATGACACTGATCATTTCACTGATATTATGTCATGAGAACTCTGTGGTCTCTCAACTTGGTTTTTCACCAGAACTGCCAACCTTTTTGCATTTTAAACAATACAGTCAATATCTGAATGAAGAAAAGCTTTTAGAGAGATATAGGCCGCATTTCAATTGGGTTTGCATAAGGTTAATGTAACTTGCCACAGTTAACTGCAGCTGATTGATGAGGTACTGGGACGCATCTCTGTTGCACAATCAGGCATGCGACCAGGCATGTGATTGAGACATGCTGCAGCAACTGTCAATTAGCTGCAATTAGATGGAGCAAGTTGCACAAACGTTAGGCAAAAGCCAACAAAATTCTGGTCAATATTTTGTGTTTTGTTTCAAATAGGAGGAAATACTTAGTTCCAGAATGGCAGCCTCAACAAGCATTGAGGGGGGCAGTTTTTTAAAAAATAATAATCTGAAGGTTGTTGTGGGTTTTTCGGGCTCTTTGGCCGTGTTCTGAAGGTTGTCCTTCCTAACGTTTCGCCAGTATCTATGGCCGGCATCTTCAGAGGACAGCACTCTGTGCTCTGAAGCATTATATAATTCAGAGAAATAATCTGAAGCATTATACAATTCAGAGACATTTAACCAAATGAACTGTTATTCTATACAACTGGATATATTTTACTATAAGATTATTATTTTTAGCAGCATACCACAGCTCACTAACAAACTTTCATACACACCACTTCAACTTCTAACTGTCCAAAAGATATATCTAAGAATAAGTTCCTGTCCCTTGTAGTTACCTAGCTGAAGCATAAACATGTTTTTTTCCTAATTGCTTTTAGTTCAATGTGCTTAAAGACTGCCACACTCAACTTCAAGTGTTTCTACAGCCCTATTTAGGCACTTTTCTACTGGATGCTGTGATTGCATTTAAAGGAAGAATCTAGTCCTACGCTCTCCATCATTATACTCTCCATGGTTACAGCATCAGAAATCAAGTGATTTCTGCTTGTGTGTAAGTTCTGAGTGTGAGGAATAACCTAGAATATAAATTTTCATCATGTTTAAAGGCTACACTTCAGCAGGAACCTTTCCTTCTTAAATCCTGTACTGTAACCATGAAACACACAATAGTGGAGGCATGTTCACAAGCACCTCATTGAATCATGCCTGAATGGGGCTTAAGTGACATTTCTTTGTATGCTGGAATGGAGAACCTGTGGCCCTCCTGATCTTATTGGACTCCAATTCTCATCAGTGATAACGATCAGCCATACTGGCTATGGGTGTTCACAAGATGAAATCTAACAAGATCCAGAGGGCTGTGAATTCCCAACTCTCATATATATACAGTCGTGCCCCGCTTTACGATTGCCCTGCATTACGATGAAACCACATTACGACGACATTTTTGTGATCACTTTTGTGATCACAAAATGATGGTCTGAATAGGTTTTTTTCACTTTGCGATGATCGGATCCCTGCTTCAGGAACTGATTATTCGCAAAATGACGATTTTCCTACAGCTGATCGGCGGTTTCAAAATGGCCACTGGGTAAATAAAATGGCTCCCCACTGTTTTCTGGGACGGATTCCTCGCAAGACAGCCACCAAAAATGCCTGCCCTATGGAGGAGCTTCGCTGGACGGTGAGTTTTTAGCCCATTGGACTACATTAAATGGGCTTTAATGTGTTTCAATGGTTTTTTTATTTTTGCATTACGACGTTTTCGTTCTACAGCAATTTCGCTGGAATGAATTAACGTCGTAATGCGAGGCACCACTGTATACCAAATGAAAAGCTCTCTCCACCTGTCCTCTTCCTTTGTGTTTCTGATTACTTGCCTTCTCATCTCTCTCATTACCTATACCCTAGGTTCTCAACCTGTGGTCTGTGAATGCCCCCCTCGGGGTGGGTGGGTTGCGATGTCCTTACCTGTTCTATCATTTATTTCCAGATGTCCTCACAGGGGGTCCATGAAGGCTTGAAGAAATGTTATGATCTTTTGCAGTTATTATTATGATTTGTATGGCATCATTCCAGTAAAATATTATAATAGGACTGTGTGCATTAACAGATTGACTTATTTCTCCCTTCTCTCCAAATATGAAGACTCTTCATGAAAAATTTTAAATAAATATTTGATGCATTTTAGGGTTTTAAATCTTGAGTTCTTGATGGTCCTCGGCAACAAAATATATTGAAAGGGGGTCCATGGTAAAGAAAAGGTTAAGAAGTGCAGACATATATGTATCACTATACCTGCTCTAGATATCACAATAAAAAAGCCTATTATTTTTAAAAATCACAAGTACACTTATTAACAGCAACTGCTCACCTGTCTCTTGTCATCAGGTGCTTTAAGAAAAAGTGCATTTATCACAGCAATAGTATATGTTTGTATTTCTTGATCAGCCCTGCAGCAGAATACAATTTCAAATCAGTAAGAACAGTACATGAAAGTCAAATATGAGAAAATACTCTCTGTGTTTGTGTAACTGTTTTTCAGGAGATAAAAGAGAAAAGTGAAGGTCAAATTGTATGTATACGTTGCTGGAATGTCTGGAGAGAATCTTAAAACACCTCAAAAAATTACTTTCTGGCTGAAATCCTGTTGAACTGCTATACCTGCATAACTTGAAATTGTGCAAGCCATTGTGAAATGTGTACAATGGTAAAAGTCTTATCCATGGAGCAGTTCCACAAATTACGTAGTTATGCAATCAGACATACAAACTGGCGAAGCTTAACTCTTTGTGAACTTTTATAGGCGTAACTTTATGCTATACCAAGTACAATAGGATTTTAGCCTCTGAATTAATATAATGTGCATAACCCTAACTGCATTACTTTATATTTGTGTCTCACTCTTTTCAAGTTTATGCAGATATACCATGAGATGATCTAATTTTTCATTAAAGGTATAACCTCTCTCTGAGCTAGTTTAAAATCTGATATTAATCTCACTGAATCCCAATTTCTTGGCATTAATCACCTGAAAACCTTGTCACTTTAATGTACATGCACAGATACAGGTTTACATTTAAGAGCCAAATGTCATTACAGCAGACCCAACCAAACTTGCGGTTGAACAGTGTTAAGATTTTGTCAAATCTTCTTGCATGGTTATTCTGGCATAATGCTAACCAGTGTAGATTTTGGAGGCAAATTGCCTCAAGTTGAGAAATCATTCTAGGCATTACCTGTGGCATGCTTAGGTGCAATTATAACCTTTAAAAACAGAAAGAATATCTGCAATACTAGGGGGGAAAACTTATTATTCTCTCCAAATCATAGATTAGAAGAGGCCTTGTAGTGAGTTTTATGGCTGAACAAAATAGATAATTTTAATTATGTTACTAAACATTAAAACAAAACTATATATTATAATATTAGATATTAACAGTATGTGTTATATATTATATTTGAAAAGTACAAGTATTCCCCAGGAAGTAAAAGGAAGCTTAAGCTTACCTATCAAATTGGATCAACTCATTCCTCCCTGCCCATCAGCCAATCAATTTCAGTGATGTAAGGAGCAACAGCACCCTTCCTTTTATTCATGGAGGATTTGAACCCCTTATCAAATATATGTAAAAACATTGGTTGTGGCAGATGGTACAGACTGCAAGACAACCTAATGCAAATTTTAGGTGTTGTTTTTTTTTAAAAATACCTGTTCTATTATTTATTTCCAGACTAAATAATAATAAAAATATTTTCAATGAAACACTGTCAAATGTTACTCACCCTTGGAGATGAGGGATTAGCTGTCCAATGGTTATCTCTTGTGCCACCTTCTGGTACAGATCATGGCTATTCAGCACCATTGACTCTAAGATTGCTAATGACCGTTGCAGGATAGCAATGTCAGTAGGAAATTTACTCACATAACTTGCTATCTGTAAATATATCAATGTTCTTGTATTAGGCCATGTTGGATAAGAAGGAAACATTACAGCAAAATAAATAAATAATTGGATTTATTAACATTAACAATAAATCCTTGGTATCAAGTAGCTAAATAAAAGTGGCCTCGCATTTGTTTAAAGTATGATTAGGTACATGTGTAACTGCATAATGCTATTAACAGTGATAAGGTGGGACTGGAGGACTAAGTAGAGGGTCCACTGTAGTTAAATAAAAATGGCCTCACATTTGTTTAAAGTATGATTAAGTTAAGTACATGTGTAACTGCATAACGCTATTAACAGTGATAAGGTGGGACTGGTGGATTCCATGTGTGACAAGGAAGCGCAATATTCCACATTCCACTGCTGAAACTGGAGTTAATAGCCCACTCGTGCTATGTTAACATCACCAACAGTCATTTTACAATTTCTTGAGAAACTAAAGTACTATGCCCACAAACTGTTGATCTCAAGGTACCATTCGGTTCAAAAAACTAGCAGCAGCATCTCCTGAATTTCTCCAAACAATTCCCTTCAGTAAATTCAATTAAATATGTGTTTTTTCTCTCCGAATCTTAAGACATTTTGTTTACAATCAACTCATGTCCCTCAGGTTAGAGACATTAAATGATCCTTTCATACCTGACCACATTTCATAATTTTCTACCTACAGGACATATCAATGACACGTGTCCAAACAATCTCTATCCAATGCAGCACAGACTCAGTATTATCCACTATTTTTCTTAGTAATATTTTATAATTTCTGTGGGATTATGTCCCATCCTAACATTAACCCACAAGCAATTTTTTTAAAATTGCAACAGGTCTCTAAAATAAGAGCATTATCTGAACTATCTAGCAGAAGTCAGTACTGGACAAATTTCTTGGCATTAAATCCCCATTTTATTGTTCTCACTGAGAGTAGCAGCAAAATTTTGCTGTGATTTATCAATGAATTCCAAATCTGTAGCATTTGTTATATTTGTATCACCCTCTTCAAATACGATTCTGTGAATTCTCATTTTATGTTTTAGAACAATCCTACGGGGGCATTATTCTAAAAAGAGCAACGTATACTTAATTGCTCTAAAAAGGTTCCTATGCCTGAAAGTAAATTAGAAGCTGGTTCCACGTACCATTTTGCCAACACTACAGACAAAACTGGTTTTTAAAATCTATAAACTAGATTACAGTTCAGAAATGCCATACTGTGATAGTTAGAAACTACAGCCATAAGATACAGTATTAAGTAGAGCTGAAATAAATACTTCAGCAAATCCCAGAATCCCCCAGCCACCACAACTACTTGATGGGGCAAGTCTGTTAGATGTATTCCCAATTATCTGTTATTAGCCAAGCATCTACATCCAAGACAGAATGGACCATGACATGAAGAACTACCTCATGCCCTTTACTCATAATTTGATAGACAAGTAGGACAAGTGCATGAATGGATGTGGCTGATCCCATTTCACCCCACCTAGCTCTTATTGTGAAACATAAACCTACCTTTTTAATAAAAGCCACAGAGAATGTGTCCCAGGATACAATTCCATGATCCATCAGCTCAACAAATGCCGTAAGTGTGAAGGATAACATATCTCCAAAGCTGCAAGAGACATGAGTAGTAGATTCTATGTGGGACTAATTTTAAAACAACAACAACAGGGAAGCCTTTTGGGGAAAGGAACTATAAAGCAAGGATATGCAAGAAGAGGCAGAAACAGAATAATATGGACACCATGAAGCAGCAGCAGCAGCAGCGGTGGCAAAGCATCAACATGATTCCAGGTAGTGCTCAATGTCTTGTACCTCTTGAAGAAAATTGGATGTATCTGTATTCTGGGAGAAAAAGACCATGTAGTGCCCAAGAAAAAAATTACTTGTGTCCACTTCAATCTGACCATTCAAAGACAGAGGACAGAAATGAAACAAACACTTCTTTTTCCAGTGATGGAGCCACTCTTGTTTCAGTCATTTCTTGCTTTTGGACACATGCAAACTGGATACAAGTTCACACTGTCCCTGTTCTAACAGAAATTCCTTCACTAGACTTTAAACACGTACAGGGCTCATTTCACCACCAGCTTAACCCTAAATAAGGTTTGTTATTAACAGAGTTTGAACAGTAACTTCTAACCACAGTTCCAAAATCATGGTAAAAAGCTCTGTTTATGGCCGACTTCAGTATAAAGTGTGGTTGTGTCTAATAGAGGAACAGTACGATGGAGATACAGTGGTGCCTTGCAAGACGATTGCCTCATGGGACGATAAACCCGCAAGATGGTTGTTTTTTGTGATCGCTGTGGCGCTTCGCAAGACGGTTTTTCCTATGGATGATTTTCACAAGACCATTTTTTTTAGGGACGATTTTCGCAAGATGATTTTTTGGAAAGTTGGGTCGATGACTCACAAGACGATTTTTTTAATGGACGCTTTTTTGCAAGACAAATCTCTTCAGTTTTTTTAATTGTTGTTGTTGTTTTGGTTCAAATCTCAACCGTTAATACCCAGGATGCATTGTGCATTGTGCCGGGGAGGCTTAAAAAACCTCCCCAATGCAGCCTGGGTTCACTTTTCCACGTGCAGTTCTAAGGTTGACTTCGTGAGGAGCAACTGTGGTCTGTGTTGTGGGGCATCCTGTGTTTGCTGTGGTCTATGTTGTGGAGGCATCCTGTCTTTGGAGAAGTTGGTGTGGTCTTTGGTGAAGTTGAAGTTTTTCAGAACTTTTTGGCCAGCAAAAGGTTCTCCTGTGTTGATGGGGGGGGGGTTATGCCAAGTTTTTTTTTAAAATTTTATTGTTAAGTTGCAGAGGAAAGGTGGTGGGCTTAGTTTGTGCTGGGGGGGTTATGACAAGTTTTTTTTCCCGTAAGTTGCACAGGAAAGTTAGGGGGTTAGCTTGTGCTGGGGGAGAAGTTATGCCAAGTTTTATTTTTTATTTTAAATTTTTCCCGTAAGTTGCACTGGGAAAGTTGTTAAGTTGTATGGGAAAGTTAGGGGGTTAGCTTGTGCTGGGTCGCACGTGTCCTGTTTGTGGACTGCGTCAATCTTATCAAGCCGTGCCTGCTGGACAATGACCTGCCACTAAAGGCCCTGCTCCTTATGGACAATGCTCCAGCTCATTCTCCAGGCCTTGAGGAAGATTTGTTGGAGGAGTTCAATTTCATTAAAATAATGTTCCTGCCACCTAACACCACCTTGGTACTCCAGCCAATGGATCAGCAGGTGATTGCGAATTTCCAGAAATGATACACCAAGGAGCTTTTCAGGCACCAACCTCATCCTGCGTGAACTCTGCTTGGCGCAACCTCTGGCCAGACTGTGTGGCAACAAGTGACTCTGGTGTTTCTGCACCTGCACCAGAGTCAACAGTGATGGAGGACATTGTTGCCTTGGGGAGGAACATGGGCCTTGAGGTCACAGAGGAGAACATCTGTGAACTGGTGGAGGACCACAACCAGGAGCTGGTCAAGCTGCAGGCAGAGGCTATGGAGGAGCAGGCCTCTTTGGAAGAGGAAGAAGAGCCAGGGGAGGAACAGCTGTCCACCAGGGAACTGAAAGAGTTCTTAGACCAGTGGCAAAACATGCAGACTGTAGCACAGCAATACCACCTTGACAAGGCTGCGGCACATAACCTTGTTAACACGTTTGATGCAAGGGTCATATCCCCTTTCAGAGGGATGCTGAAAAGGCAGCAGAAGCAGCTGACTATGGAGAGGTTCCTCACGAAGAGGCTGAGACAGGAAGAGGAACCTGCTGCTTCTACTAGCGGTGCCCAGTTGCCTTCTTCCTCCTCGTCGTCCTCCTAGAAGGCTGCTGCTGTGATGTGGGGACAGTTCTGTGTGCCTCCAGTTTCCTAAATTGAAACACTGGTCCTGGTGGTTTAGAACCTCACTTGTTCACTTTAAAATGTGAAATGTAAAAAGTTTCTGTACTGTTGGTTTCTGTATGTTTATGCACTTTCTGAAGAGTTTGCACAATCCAATGACTGTTAGCGACTGTTTCTGTTCAGTTTCAATGAAGGCAGATGTTCCTGCCTCATGTTTGTTGATTTTTAAATGTTTTTCTACGATATTTATAAAAAAGTTTATTAATTGAAATTTCTGAAATCACCTGCACAGTATTTATGACTTTAAAGAGCACTTAATAAACCCTTTGTAAACCAAATTTGACTTTGTTCTGACTTTTTTTGTGCCCATAGGAACGCATTAATTACATTTCAATGCATTTCTATGGGAAACTGCATTTCAGAAGATGACAATTTTTTGCCCATAGGAACGCATTAATTAGATTTCAATGCATTCCTATGGGGAAACACATTTCGCAAGACGATGTTTTCGCAAGACGACATTTTTCGCAGAACAAATTACAATTGTCTTGCGAGGAACCACTGTATATGCCACAAACTCTCATCTACAATTAAAAGATCAAAAAGTATATCACATTTACAAATCCCCCTGCCCCTGCTATATTGCTTAGAACCAGTTATGTACCCCACTGCAGCTAGAAAGAAGTGTTGACAATAAATGTTACACTAAACAATAAGTATTTTTTTAAAAAAATTGAACGTTATTGTGACATAGACCAGCATATCTACAATATCTAGATCTAATTAATATAAACTGCATCTAAAGCAAATCAAGATATTAATTGGTCAAATTCTATTGTAAAAGATATCTGCTCCTTTATCATTCTTCTCCACTGAAAAGCTAACCAGGTCCTTTCACCTGGTCTTCCCTTTAATGCACAGGCCAGAACATTTCAGCCAAGCAAACAGTGTAGTTAGAAAAAAAGCTCATGAGATCAGTCACATCAAAAAACACTAAAGGAAGGCATGATATCCTAGCTGAATTACTAAGCCAATGCACTATCTCTATGGCAACCTGCATTATGACATCACATTAGCTGTCCAGGATACTGGATTCTCCTGTAGGAGAGGATTAAGGTTTCCTAAGCAGCCAGTTTTGTGTTAATTTGCTTTGTTGTTTCTTATCAATCCCAGTTCGTGCACATTTGTCATCTCCTTGTTATCATCCTTTCTTGCTTTTTTGAAATCCCAGTAGAGTTGAACAATACCTTCTCTTTTAGTTATTGCACGTCTGCAGCGCCCAGAAGCTAGAAATCTCTGAAAATTTCATTTTCGCTCTCCTATTTTTTTAGACGTGTTACTATCATCATCATCATCATCATCATCATCATCATCATCATCATCATCATCTTCATCATCATCATCATCATCATCACGATGATGACCACCATCATCATCATCATCATCATCACGATGACGACAGTGATGTCAGAGTTGACAATAAAGAACTGGAAAACTAACAAAATACAGAGACCCGGCAATCAAAACATCTCTCTTGTGAATGAAACACACTTCAGTGGTCCCCATAGTCACTGGGGTCTTGGGAACAATATCAATATCAAGAAACTTCACACAGTACTATAAGCAGGTGAAGATCTCAGAAATCACACCATCAGAGCTACAGAAAATGGCAGTATTAGGAAGAGCATACATAACACGTTGATATATAACAGATACTTAACTTGTATCTGTT